TACCATACCAATTGTCACTGAAAGGGAACTGTTCAGGAAAAGGAACTGTTAAGGAAATGAAAGGGAACTGTGAAGGAAAAAGGGAACTCTTGATGAAAAGGAACTCTTTCCCTGGTAAAGAGCCAGAGACAGGGAAATGTAAGTTTGCTTCCTTAATCAGCATATCTAAACAAGGCCTGGCAGCCCGCTGGGCTGGTTGTTCTCCAGGCCATTCTCAAAGAGCTGCTTCCTTCCCTTTTACCTGCGTCAAGAATTTGTATGGTAACTAACCAATGTTATCAATGAATCACCCAGTGCCCTGTGCCCTCAAATTGGTTATTCAGTAGCTGATCAAACAGCATTTTCAGTTTTACTTTTAAATGCATATTTTGACAATAGGAGAAACTAGCCATAAACAAATGAGGAGAATCTAGCAGGAGTCAGCTAAGGAGAGTCCTGAATTTTCAGGAATCTGCCCCATGCCTGGACCCTTGTCAGAGGACTTGAGTAGCGCTGCTCCCAGCAGGACCAGGAGTGTCAGAGGAGCAGCTTCAGTCTAGACCCAGGGTCTGCCCCGTCCTGTCTGGGGCCTGGTGTCTCCTCCTCTCCTCAGGCATCTCTTCAGCCTATTGGGGAGGGGAAGTTACCTATATTATAACTAATATTTCAGTTTCTCATTTTTATGTTAAAAGCTGGGTTTTTTAATGCATTTACTTTTAAATGACTAGCATAAAAGTTTTCTACTATAAATAATACAAAGTTTCCTGTATAAAAATCTGTCTTAAAATAAGTAATCTTTTTTTAAAGATTTATTTATTTATGCATACAAGAGCTGGGGGCTAGAGGTGCAGGGTGGTGAGAGGATTCACCAGAGACAGACTAGGAAACAGAACAGGCAGATTGACCTAAGTACACTGTTGAGAGGACCAGTGGGTGAGTCAGGAGAGGCCTGCTGCACCATATGGGTCAGCTCCCTGGCCGGCCGGGGATCCAGAGACAGCAGACAGCTTCCCAGGCTGCGTCTTATGTCTTACTTACCTTAAAATAAGTAATCTTGTATAGTTTTTATGAAATCATAAACATGACTCTCAGAAAAATATATAATATATATTATATATATAATATTAATATTAATTCATCAGTGATAGTATTGGTATTATCACAACATGCTACAAAGAGGATTTTGAAGAATAGATCCTTTATTGTCCAGCATGAAAGCAACTTAAAATATTCTAAGAAAGAAGAAAAGTGGTAATATCTATGGATAAAAAATAATAGTCTTTGGAATTCTCTTTTTTGCTTTACAAACCACATGTGACTTCACGGCAAACACATCCTTAATTAATTATAAAAACCCAAGTCAAATCTTATACATTTTCTAAATAGTTACTTAAGTTTGAATCTAATTATAAAATCTCTGTAATGCCCCATTAGATCAAGACACGACACACACCTTACTTATTTATCAGTTTTTAATAGTTTTTCAGATCAATAGAAGGAAAAATTTCAGGGATAGTAGCTGAGGGTAAATCCTAAAAATGACAAACATCCCATCGTAGGATCCAGAAGAAAGGCAGCATGAGGAGAGACGCCTGTCCTCAGCTGTGACTGGAGTGTCCCTCCAGGGCTCATCCTGACACTGAGCAGGGGGCCAAGGGACACGCTCCTGGGGTCCAGCTCCAGGTCACCCAGGAGGGCACGTGGGGATGTGGGCCAGGAAGCGACACATGGGTGATGGGAGAGTCCACACCTGTGACTACTCAGCTCCACACACAATTCACACATTTCAGCAACCACACAACACAATTGTATGTTTTTAACTACTAAGAGAAGCTCCCTGTTTACACGTCTTCAGAGCAGACAGCGCCAATCTTTGTATCTATATTACTTATTTCTTAAGTTCAGCCACAATTCAATTGTTCATCTGTTACCCAAAAAATACATCATAAACATAAAGTATTCTTCAGCACATGGATTCCTCAGCACAAGCTAAAGTTGGAAAAAATCCAGTTAATTTAGGACCCGAATTCATAGCTAATCCCCTTCCTTGTACAAACAGTATGAAAACCCCTTGAAATATTTTCTTGGGCCTCCCCGGTGGCGCAGCGGTTGAGCGCTGGGTTGCGAAGCTGCCCGCAGCCTCTTAAGCTCAGGTTCGATCCCCGGCTGCTCCCCGGCCACAGGAGGAGGGTCCCACATGGCGTGCAGACCTCTCCTGCCGCCCGCTGCTCCCCTCAGCAGTGTACTTCGGTCCTTCTGCCTGCTCTGCTCCCTGCTCTGGCTCTGGTGAATTCTCTCACCCTCCCGCGCTTCTGACTGTACCCAGTGCATGTATAAACAAGACAAGCAAACAAATAAATAAATAAATAAAACATGCCTCTATTAAAAAAAAAAAAAAGAAATATTTTCTTCATGAAAAGAAAAATGATCTCCCATGGTAACATTCTTCCTTCCCCAAACAGGTTCAAGTCAGTCAATTTCACCATCTGTGGCCTCAGCACGAGGCTGACCTGACTGTTCTCACAGCTACAGGAGTAAATGGGTGATGGGAGAGTCCATGCATTCGGCTCCTCAGCCTCACACTTAAAATATCTACACTGCTTCTCTTCAAATATCAAGGGAAAGCTGCCTTTATAAGTGAAGAAGTGCTCACCTTTCCCCAAAATGAGGGGCCAGACAGCCCCAATTTTTGTATCTAAAATGCCATATTAGGCATTTCTCAAATTTGCTCACAGTACCTTTATCTATTCTGTTACCCAAAACTATATTATACACAATAACTACATCAACTTGTATAAAAGCACAAGGGAAGATGACAAATGAAGACAATGTGTGATAAATACAAATGAACACACAAAAGAGAAATAGTTAAAACTATTACAGTCTCTTTACAGTCACACATCATCATGATGTCTGACTCCTCCCCACTCCCTTCTCCATCTTCTACTTTACCAGAACCAAGTCAGTGTCCCCTGGGGGAGGATCACACCTTCCTCCCTGCAGGTCTGGGATTCAGGATCCTGCTTCCTCTGGCAGCTGTGGTTCTCGTGACCCTTTGCCTCAGATGTAGAAGGACTGAGTCAGCACAGGGGCACCTGGAGCTCAGGTCCTAGCTCCCCAAGTCACTCCAAGTCTGAGAGTCTCTTCTTCATTTTCATCTTAATTCAGGGAGCAGTTCTCTCCTTTCCAAATGATGTTCACACAAAAGAGGAACCAGATCCTTCTCCTGAGGTCACCAAATTAATACACCACAAGTTTATCACTGGTCATAGAAATTCATCAGGTTTGATAAAATTAAGTGTATTTCATCCACTCCAGAGTGGAAGCAGATAACAGAATATTAGGCTCCTCTAAAGTCCATCATCTGCCATTTCCCCAAATATTTTGGAGGCAGAAGTTTTCTGGTCAGATAGTCCAGCCCCTAAAAATAGATCTGGGGACTCTCCATCAGGCTCTAGGTTCCTCCACACGAAATCAAGTTGGACAAAGTAAACTCCAATTAATGTAGGAGAATCATTCAGAGCTCAACCCATTTCTTGACCTAACAGTATAAAATCCTTGTTAAATATTTTCTTTACCAAATGACAAATGATTTCCCATGAAAAAATTCACCTGAACCTAAACGGGTTCAAAGTTATGTCTCAGCACAAGACCTGACCTGACTGTTCTCACAGCCATGGCCCAGGAATCTGCACCCAGAGCAGGAGGACGAGACTCCAGCATCCATGACTCACTCACAGGTTTGTCCACAGGGAAACTGCAGCCCCCAAAAGAGCCCAGGGCAGGGCTGGGCAGGGAGGAGCCTCATGGGGACACGGTCTCAGGGGTGCAGGGGAGGAGGGGGGCTTCAGGCCCTGGGGGAACCCCATCCACACCAGAGCCTCAGGGGATCCCCTCCCCTGGGGGATCCCCCAGAGAAGGAGGCTGGTTCATGGTGTTATAGGGCAGGGAGAGGGGCGGCCCAGACCATGTAAACCTGCCTATTTTAAATGGATTCTGCCATCCGCCGCATCAACACAAAACATATGAGACTTTAATGGGAAGGAACTTTAATAAAACTAGGAAACAATACAGGTAAGACAAAGAGTCTAGTTTCTAAATGAAGCACCCAAAGTTACCCGTCCCCTCGTGGGTAAAAGTCCATCCATATGGGAATAGCGCAGAGCAAGGCCCCAAAGCCTGCCACAAGTCTAAAGCACCTTCCAGTGGGGACCCACAGAAAAGGGTCAGAAACAACCAGACAAGCCCAGAAGGAAAAGAGCAAAATCAAAATCAAGATCAAGATAAAAGCTGCCATTGTCCCCTTCCCACGGGTCTCACCCACATCTGTGCCATGCCGTCCACAACCAAAACTCAAGAGCAGTTTCCTCACGTGTCTCCCTATTCCATGTGCCGCCTCCAGGTCTCCTTCTGGCTCCATCCTGATTCCTTCCTTCCTCAGTCTCTCCAGCTTCTTCTCTGCCTGCTCAGCTCCACCCTCCCTTGGGTGGGGCAGGGAACCTGGAACCTCCCCCTTTCCTGGGGACCACCCTGTTATAATGGCACAGAGGGCTTCTGGGGCCCAGCCTCCAGGGGGCACAGGGTCATGGACACGTCTCCTGAATAACACCCAAAGTATGGAAAGAGGGTTCCAGAGAAGGACTCCGGAGGGAAGGAGAAGATGTGGGAGCCATCAGTCATGTCATAGAAGGAGACGTCCCCATGATCATAGTCCAGGAAAACCCCCAGCCTGTGGTGAACCTGCCTAAGGGGTAGCGGAGTACGAGGGTCAGTGAAGGCTTTGAAAACGTTGTTGTGCCGGCCAAAAACCCATTTCCCGTTCAGTGGGCATGGAGCACTGTATTTAATTTTCTCACCTTTCCTACAAACCTCCAGAACCCACGCAGTTCTGTCTGCATTCCTGACCTCTACTTCCCAGTAACAGCGCCCTGATGTGATGCCCTCAAGACCACAAACACTGTATCCTCCTTCCATTCCAGTGTGATGACAGGTCAGACTCTTCTTGTCATGAGAGAGGGCAATTCCCTGATGGCAAGAACCTGGATCCAGAGTGACAGGCCCTGAAGAAAACCCATGTGCCATCCTGACATAAGAGGACACACACCGCCTCACCCGATACTCAGAGAGGGTTATGTTCCCTGAAATGAGAGCCTGGTGACCCCAGTCCACAGCCCCCAAGCAAGAGAAGGAGCCACAAGATTATTGGGGGTCAAGTATGTCACAGGACCCCTGGGGACCCGCCCAGACCCCAAGGACTAAGGAGCCCCTTTACCACACATGACCAATCACCCCCAGCCCAGCTGTGTGACGTCACAACTACACCCACCCGACCCCCACAGAGGGTGCAGTCTGTGCCCACACAAAGAACAGAAGGAAAGGCCAGAAGCTGAGCAGCCCCAGAGAGAACAGGGTCACGCACAGGCCCGGAACTGCCTCTTCCGCCAATCTGCAAGAGACACACATGTCACGTGAGGGACTCTAGATACTCACACATCAGGGCCCATGCCTAGTTTTCTACAAGACAGTGACACAGAGTTCACAGGGGGAAATATTTGGAAACATTTAGTGGATGCATTTAACATTTAGATTCACACACACACACACACACACACACACACACATGCACAGTCGTTATTCTGCAAATTTCCATGATTTAAGACCTAAAGCTTAATACTCAGGGGTGAGAGGCTGAACACCAACTGCACAGAAAGGTCTTTACTCAGACACAACCATCAAATGATACTTTCCAAGTCACAGACACAGGCCCGTCCTGGAAACGAGGTTTTCTTGAACAATTTCTATGGAGATGAAACGCCCAGGACTGCGTGTGCTTGTGAAGAACTAACAGACCTGGACATGCAACTTCTCTCTGAGCCACGGCACTTAGAGCTACAACCAGCCCAGGCGTGTGTGCGGCCTGAGGGGCCGTGCAAAACCTGCAGAAGCCTGGAGACATGGGGGCTGGTGGGCAGAGCTTTCCCCTCTGATTGTGAATAAATCTGTTTGTCCAAGAAGCGGGGAGAGACAGGCAGAGAGAGAGAGAGAAAATGACACAACATGACTGAGTTGCATGTGGGGGTGCCTGTGACATGAGTGAAGAGACTCAGGACACTCAGCAGAGGGTCCTGCCCACTCAGGAGGGGGTGGAGAGGGTTCCAGGGGGAGAGTGACATGCAGAGCAGGGAACATGGACACACACTGAGAGGATCAAACACTAGTGACAACTTTCCACATTTTCATGTGTGGTGGAAACAAAACCATCCCCAGACAGAGAAAAACACAAACACATTGGATTGACACACTGTTTCCTTCAAGAGGAGCCCAGAAAGATGGAAGCTTCAAAGTAAAACCTCTCTCTAGAAGCAGAATAATGACTTCAAAGGTGTCCATGTCCTCATCCCATGAACCTGTAAACATGTGTCCTTGACAGAGGAAAGAGAAACCTGCAGGTAGGACAGAGACGGGGACCTGGAAACAGGGATGTTACTGAGGATCATCAGGGGGAACCAATCCCATGAGCCTTAATAGCCAGGACCTTGCACCTGTGCTCAGAGACAGTCACATGGTGATGGCAGCAGGGCCATAAAGAGGCTGCATGGCAGACAGTGTAGACAGAGGATGGGGCCCCCAGTCAATGCAGGGGGCCCTAGATCCTGGAAGAAGAAGAGGCTCCTGGAAGGAAGGAGCTGCCAGACCCTGGAGTTAGTCCCAGGACTTGGTCTCAGGTGTCTGCCCTGCAGGTGTGTGAAATGATAAACTGTGTGGGTGACGCTGCTCAGGGTGTGGTGACGTGTGTCAACAGCAGCTGGAGCTCTGATGCCCCATGTGGGGGCCCAGGCAGGTGAGCAGGGCCCTGGCAGGGGAGGGTCTGGAGGGAGCACCAGGACCCCAGGATGCACGTGGAGAGATGAGGACCCCGAAGTGTCACCTACTTTGCGGGGAGATGGAGGAAAAGAGAGGGGCCTGGAGAGCAGGCAGGGAGGGAATGATGGTTGAGGAGAGCAAGACAAGGACATGGGACAAGAGGAAGAAACCAGAAGGTTCATCAATTTGCTGACCAGAAACAGACCCAGACCCTGACTCTGCTGTGGCAGGAGGGTCACCCACAATCCCTAATGACCAGACAGGATGAGCCCTGCCCCCCTCAGCATGTGCCACACAGGATCATAGACCAGTGGCCCCAGGGGGGCCCCTGAAATGAATGAAAGGGGAGCACAGGCCCTTCTCCCCAAGGCCCCAAGGCCATGTCATCCCCACCCCACACCTGCCTGGGAAGAAGGAAGCAGGTCATTCCCCAACACTCAGGTCAGACACAGCAAAACTCTGAGAGGCCGTCAGGGGAGAGTGTGAGTTTCTCAATGGTGTGAGGAGAGAGGGGGATGGAGGAGAATCCAGGATCTACATTTATAGGGATAAGGAACAACATCTTCTTGTGCACATGGTGTGTAAATGTGTGACACCAGCCACACCTGCACGAGCTCACTCTGAGAAACTGGCATTTCCATCTTTGCTTGATAAGAAACAAGATCCTAGGCAATGACTGGGTGGCATATATGTGACCTCTTTGTAAAAAAATGGAGATTTAAATTTACTTGTTTTTGCTGAGACATGAGTTGACATGCAGCTCTAATGCTCTACACCACGCTTCTTCATACAACAATAAAAAAGAGGGTGTGGAGGAGAACAGGAACAGGAGCAGCAGGAACAAAAAGAGAAAATCAAAGTGGCGTTTGATGTGAGACACAGCGTGCCCAGGACTGTGTGTGCACTGACTGCACTAGTCAGTTAATTTTTGTAGCAAAACTTTAAGTAAAAAATTTTTGTTAAATTTTACAAATAATACGAGATCACACATGTATCCATCTGTGAATCTGTCAATATCAAAATGTGGATTCTAGTGTATTAATGGTGTTTCATTCAAACACAGCATTCTTTTTGCATGCCAAAGGAAAGTTTATGTTAAAATGCATGAGACATGAACTCAGCAGAGGCTGGAATGATGGTAAAGACGATGCTATGATCCTCACTGTGTGGAAATGAGCCCCAGGGGAACCAGGGAGACTCTTAGGAGAGTTCTCACACTCCTGGTCCCAGGACCCTCCTCCACATCCCCTTTACTGTGGCTCAGGGTCTGTGTCCAGGATCATAAACAAACCCCTGAGCAGGGAAAGGGCGTGTCACTAAGGCTAAGGAGGCTCAGATCACCCTTCACCAGCATCACTGACCTTCCCTGCAGGACCCTGTGCAGACCCTGCCCTGGGGTTACAGGGTAGCTTATGTGAGAAGCAATGCAATTAGATGGTCACCTCGATAATGGTTTTCAAAGTGTAAGTTTATGTGAAGTACTTCAAAAGGCCCACTGTGTTTCATTCCCAAGCCTTGCGCAGAGTTTGCACAGCACAGATTCCAACTGGTGACTGTGCCCAAAACCTCTAGAAGGCTCTGCTTCCACACTCCCCTCTCCTTCCTTCCCCTCTCTCTCTCCATCCAGACTTGTCTTTCAAATTTCCCCCCTGTTCTTTGGGAATGGATTATAACCATTTTAGGTTTGTTCTTTTCCAGTCTACATAGTTAATCTTAAAAAAAAAAAAAAACAAAAACAAAAACCTACTTAATAACGACCATGAGACTGTCAGACAAAATTCTCCTTAAAAAGATGATGGTTCTGAAAAATCACACATTGTTTATCTTATTACAAAGACACAAAAATTACAGCTACATGCACACACACACACACACGCACACACACTGGATTTTACATGTAATTTCAGACCTTTCACAGGCCCCTGCCCAGGAGTCATAAACACCCCAGAAGCTCTGGCCAGACTCACACACCTGCTCTAAACAACTGATTCCTCAGCACCCACAAGGGATTACAAGAAAAATGCAGCTTGGACATGAATCTGAGCATGCATGAGAAGACAGAGAATCAAGAGGAAACAGGAAACAAAAACTAGATCCAAAATAGGACTGGGATTTGGGATCCAGAAGGATCCATAACACCGGACCCCTTAGCAAGACCTGAATCGGAAAAAGGAAGTAGAATGTCTGGAATTTTCCAGAAATCAGTATATCCTGAACCACACACTAGTCCTTGCCATAGCCTCTCCTCACACTGAACCCCACTGTCCTCACCCACAGGAAGGACCAGGTGACAAGGGGTCAGAGACTGTCCTGGCCCCACATGACCTCCAGGGAGGACAGGGCAGGTGGAGGCAGGTCTGTGCTCACAAGGGGGGCCCTGCAGTTCTCAGATGGAGGCTCCAGAGTGAGAGGAGACCAGGGACCTTTCTGGTAGGGTCCCCTGATAGAGAAGGGGCAGACGGGAGGCTGGGAGGGGTCCCAGGCCCCTCAGGGCCACTCACCTGCATACAGCTGGGCCTTCCTCCAGGCTGAAAGGAAACACACAGGTGAGACCTCAGCACAACCAGTTGCTCTTGTGATCCACGAGCACTGATGATCCCCTGTTCTGCAAGTGAGACTTTCTAGGGGGTGAGGAGGGGGAGGGCTGGAGAGGTCATGACCTCCTGCCCCGTGCAGACAACAGTGGGTGGTGGGAAATCCCTGGCTCAGGTGAGGAGCCTGCAGGACAGACTGACCCAGCCCTGCCTGCTGCTGCTGTGGGGCTTTGGCAAGTCAGTGAGCAGCGTTGGGTCCCACAGCCTTCAAAGCTCCTGCTTCACCTTCTAGTCACTGTTGCTACACAGGATCAAAAACGGTGTATGGGAAGATATTTTTTAACGGACATATTATTCCATAATTATTACATTCAGTATTTCCTTGGAAATTAATGGGAAGATGAAATAAAAAGACAACATGGATATCACACCAGCTCCAGAGTAGAAATGGCCCTTCTTCCTCCAGTGCAGTATTTCTAGTGATAAGCACTCTCTGGGAGAGAGAAAGTCCCCCCACTCCTTCCCATGCAAGGTCACCCCGCCCTCTCCCAGCACCAGTGATCAGCATCTTCAGGAGCAGAGAGAACAGACTCTCCTTGGGGTTGTTTGGGGAGAAAGGTCAGGAGGGGGTTTCACTCCTAAACTTCAAGAGTCCATCTACTTTTCAAATCCCAGAGCAGCTGCTTTACTTCCAGGTGCTGACCAAGAACCAGATGCATTGAGGACTAGAAAGCCAGCACCATGGTGGGAAAGTCAGGTCTGGAATGAGACGAGGACGCAGGAGACTCCAAGGGTCACCACCTACCAGGATCCCAAGAATGGGGGGAAACAGCACCCAGATCTGGAGAGTCCATGGAGCAGGGCCCTGCCTCCTACCAGCTCCCACTTCCAAATGAGGGAAGGGCCCACATGTCTGTGCTGAGACACCCAAGGGGAGGGACCCCTGGGCACAGGGGACAGGGACCCAGGATTCCTGGAGCATCACTCACCAGCCAGATAAGTTGCCTTCCTCTGGTCTGAAAGACAACACAGGACACAGGTGAGCTAAGAACTAGAATGTCTCCTATGAAGAGACACAGAGTTCAGGAGGGAGAGCAGGGCTTACCTAGAATTGCCTGGAGCTTATCTGCAAAAGAATTAAAAATATAAGCATTAACTGACCCTATGAACAAAATGTGTGCCTAGAGAAGACACAAAAATGAATCTCTCTGTATCTTAGACGTTCCACCTTCAGACCAACATGAGCCTCCAAGCTCCACTGTCCCCTCTGTGACTCAGCACCTGCTCTATCTCCCTGCAGAGGGACCCTGGGCTCTGGCTCTGGTGTCAGCTTGTCCCTCTCAGCACCCACTGCCACACTCACCAGCCTGGCCCTGCCCTGCCTTACCTGTGTCCTTCAGGGCCTCCTCCTTGGTCTGTAGGTCCCACTCCTTAACCCAGCATATAAGGTTCTGAAGCCGCAGCTCCCGCATCTGTGTGGAATGTTCTCTCTGGGTGTAGTAGGCAGCCCCCAGGAGCAGGAACAGCAGCAAGGGCAGGCTCATCAGGAAAGCCGGCTTCCAGGGAGAGGCCCGGGGGCAGAAGGGCTCTGCAGACAGAGACCAGAGACCCCACCAGGACACAGCCCAGGACAGCCCAGCCCAGCTCACCTGGGAGTGTCGGCCCCTCCCTCTGACCCTGCAGGCAGTAAGGAGGGGGAGAAGCCCTGACCTGGGAAGACAATGGCCCTGGCCTTCTCCTGGCGCAGGATGGGGTTGAGGATGGAACAGGTCACGCTCCCCGCAGAGCTGTCTCTCACCACCAGAGCAGCCTCCACGCTGAACAGTCCCTCAGTGTCCTGGGCATGGACCTTGGAGAACTCCAGGAACTGCTCCCCACGGGGGTGTCTCCACTGCACCTGGGGCTCCGGGAACCAGCCCGAGGCCGTGCACACCACGCACACCCCGTCCTCCTCTGGCCCCGAGATGTGCACTTGGGGGGCAGAGCCCACACCTGTGGAGGGAAGATGAGAGCCAGGTGGGGAAGGACCCACCTGTGCACACCTCCAGGGGAGGCTGTCAAAGTGCATTTCGGGGCATCTGGGGGAGGTCCCCCCCAGGGGCATAAAGATGATGACACAAGACCAGAAGGAAAGAGCAGGAGAGGCTGGAGGGGCCTGGGTTCCTCCCCCAGCCCTGCAGGTAGAGAGATGATGCCCACAGGAGAGGAGAAGAAATGTCACATCTCTGCCTTTAAAAACAGCCCAGGAACATAAATCAAGAATAATAACCCGGAGAAGTCTTGGGGGGAAAGGCACATATTACCAAAATTTTCAAAGGCATAAATTAAAATCCGCCATACATTTTTTAAAGATATATTTTATTTATTTCTGCATACAAGAACTGGGGTACAGGCCAGAGTGTAGGGTGGTGAGAGGATTCACCACAGACAGAGTGGAGAACAGAACAGGCAGATTAACTGAAATACACTGCTGAGGGGAGCAGCGGGCGAGACAGGAAAGGTCTGCTGTGCCATGTGGGTAGCTCCCTGGCTGGGGATAGTGCTGCAGTGGCTGCTGATAGCTTGATAGTGCTGAGACTTAACCCCTTGCAACAGTAGGGAGGCCCTGCCATACATTTTTAAAACAGAAAATGTTTAGTGCAATTTTAGATTAAATAAATATGTATTCGAAATTAGAAAATATGTGCAATGTGCTTTCCTTTGTTTATTTTAAACACCCCAAAACTCTTCCATAGCCAAACTGATCTCCCTCTCACCCTCCTGTGGTTCAGGAAGAGGGAATCCCCCCACCAAGGATGACTGTTCCTGGATCTCCTACCCCACAGGTCACCCTCTCTCCTAAAAGTTGGTCCCATCATATTCTCTCGCTCCCTCTCTCTCTCTGTCTTTCTCTGTCTCTCTCTCTCTCTCTCCCCATCTCCTCTCCTTTCCTCTTTCCTCCCCGCTTCTCTCATATCTTAGATGTGCTGACTCATGATTGCTAATCTCTCGCTTTTTATCTATTATTTTTATAATTATGTAAACATATTCAAATCTTTCCAACGTATCTTTTCTTTCCCTTTAATCAACTGTGGGTTTTTCTCTGGGTTATGATTCTTGGCCTGTGACAATTGGCTTATTGTTCTTATGCATGAACTATCACAAAAGAAGTAAAAAAATTGTTTGAGGTATAGTTAGGAAAGAAATGTTTTGGCCCTGAGAACCATAGAGAACAAGCTGCCCTGAACCAGCTTTGCTCGGAAACCATAGCCTAACCTGGGGGTGGGGGGGTACCTGTTTGCGGCAACAATACGTTTCCTGGTGTATGAGGTCAATAATTCACAGGCCGTGTGGAGGCTAGGAATTTCTGGTTAAAAGTTAGACTTCAGTAGAACTTACGTAGATCTGATGAATTGTTTTAAACCACTTTGAAGTAATTAATATATTAACCAAGTTAATTGAGTGCTAGGAAATAGATTGATTTCAGTAATTGAATATAGAATAGGAACTTTACACCCACGTTTGTAATTGGGAAAGTTTAAATGTTGCCAAATGTTGTGCTGTTGATCATGCTAGTAAATGAGCTGTACCTAGGAAACTAATTGTTCTTAGGTTACCAAAAAAATGGCCTACAGGTGTAAGGCCAAGGGAGTCTTTACATGATCATGAAAAAACATGTATTGTCTTTTCTCTGCTTCAATGCTTACGCTGATGTAATCCCACCGCTTGCCTTAAGGTATAAATAAAGACCCGCTGAGACCCTCAGCTGGAGATACTTGCACGAACTAAAGTGTTTGTGTCTTCCTCACTCCTACCTTGCTCCACTTCCCCTCAGCCCTTTGAGAGAAACCTTTCACCAACTCCGTCCTCTCCTTTCTGAGATCCCTGACACAACTTCTAGCTGGGGCTGGTCTTCAGCAACAAACACAATGGCAAATACAGATGCTAACATATCAATATTAACTCTAAATGTAAATGGACTAAACTCTTCAATAAAAAGACAAAGAGTTGCAGGTTGGATTAAGAAACAAAATCCAACCTTTTGCTGTCTCCAGGAAACACATTTAGCTACAAAAGATAAAAATAGACTCAAAGGTAAAGGATGGAAAACAATCCTACAAGCAAATGGACCAAAAAAGAAGGCAGTAACAGCTATACTCATATCAGATAAAACAGATTTCAAACTCAAAAAGATAAAAAGAGACCCCAACAGTCACTACATTATGATCATGGGGACAATACTTCAAGAAGAAATAACACTCATTAACATATATTCACCAAACGAAGGAGCACCAAAATATATCAGACAACTATTGTTATCTTTGAAAACAGACATCAGAGAAAACACATATGTAGTGGGAGACTTCAACACACCACTATCAACAATGGATAGATCAATGAGACAAAAAATAAGTAAAGACACGAAAGCTCTAAATAAGGATCTAGAGATCTTGGGCTTAACAGACATCTATAGAACACTAAACCCCAAAAAAAACTGAGTACACATTTTTCTCAAGTGCACACAGATCACTCTCCAGGATTGATCACATACTGGGACACAAGACAAACATCAACAGATACACCAAGATAGAAATCATACTAACCATCTTCTCTGACCATGAAGGCATCAAATTATAAATAAACCATAAAAAGAAGGAAAGGTACTTTCCTATCTCATGGAGATTGAAAACCACACTACTGGAAGACCACTGGACTAATGCGGAGATCAAAGAAGAAATTAAAAAATTCTTTGAATTGAATGAACACCAATTTCCTAAATGTATGGGATGCAGCAAAAGCAGTAATAAGAGGAAAATATATAGCAATAGAGGCTCACATCAAGAAACAAGAAAGAACTGAAAGAAACAACCTAATCTCGAAGCTCAAAGACCTAGAGAAAGAACAACAAAAAAACCCCAAAAAACAGTAGAAGAAAAGAAATAATAAAAACCAAAGCAGAAATAAATGAAATCGAAATTAAAAAAACAACTCAAAAGATCAATGAAACCAAGAGCTGGTTCTTCGAAAAAAATCAATAAAATAGACAAACCCCTAGCCAGGCTCACAAAGGAAAAAAGGGAGAAAGCACAAATAAACAGGATCATAAATGAAAGAGGAGAAATCACAACGGACACAGCAGAAATCAAAAGAATAATCAGTAACTACTATGAACAGTTATATGGAAACAAGTTCAACAATCTAGAGGAGATGGACAAATTCTTACAACTCTACAATTACCCAAAGCTAGATAAAGAAGAAATAGAACACCTAAACAGACCAATTACAAGCAGCAAAATTGAAATGGTAATCAAAAACCTCCCTAAAAACAAAAGCCCAGGACCTGATGGATTTACAAATGAATTCTACCAACATTCAGAAATGAATTAGTGCCTATCCTTCACAAACTCTTCCAAAAAATTGAGAAGAAAGGGACAATACCAAACACATTCTGTGAAGCCAACATTATACTAATACCAAAACCAAACAAGGACAACACAAAAAAAGAAAACTACAGGCCAATCTCCCTAACGAACACTGATGCAAAAATACTCAATAAAACTTTAGCTATCAGAATCCAACAATGTATCCATAAGATAATTCACCACGACCAAGTAGGATTCATTCCAGGGACACAAGGATGGTTTAACATCTGAAAATCAATCAACGTTATCCAACACATCAACAAAAAGAAATATAAAAACCATATGATAATATCAATAGATGCTGAGAAAGCTTTCGACAAAGTGCAACACCCATTCATGACAAAAGCCCTTGAAATTCTTGGGATACAAGGAACATACATCAACATCATAAAGGCCATATATGACAAGACAACAGCCAGTATCATTCTCAATGGTGAAAAGCTAAAAGCATTTCCATTAAGATCTGGAACAAAACAAGGATGTCCACTCTCACCTCTGCTTTTCAATATAATACTGGAAGTCCTAGCCAGAGCAATAAGACAAGAGAAAGACATACAAGGAATCCAAATAGGAAAAGAAGAAATCAAACTATCACTATTTGCAGATGATATGATAATATACATAGTGAACCCCAAAAATGCCACAGAAAAACTAATTCAACTCATCAATCAGTTCAGCAAAGTGGCAGGATACAAAATTAACACGCAAAAGTCAGTAGCCTTCCTATACACGAACAATAAATTTGAAGAAGAAGAAATCAAAAAAAACATCCCAGACAGATAGACAGACACATATACACATATTTCTTGCAGGATTCTAGACATAAAAATAGATGAAATGAATCTGTGGTGGCAGAAGTCAGGTAAGGACTCAGATGGCAGCTGTGAGCACAGGAAGGGACTACAGGGAGGGTCCTGGGTGATGAGATTTAATCACTTGCTATTCGCTGACTGAAGACTGAGCTCTTCTTTGTGTTCATTATTCAATAACCAAAAACGGAGCTCCCACAGGACAGCAGGGGACACAGTCCGCATCTCTGTCCATAAAAGCCTCACCCATTGGTCTATCCCACATGCTTCCAAATCTCACACACTGCCCCGCGTGCTGAGAGGGTGAAGGGGTCTCCCCTTTTATTGGAACACAACACACACACACACCTGCATCCTAAAACATCCTAAAGCATTTCTCTTCTCCAGCTCTCTCCTTTACCCCCAGCCATCCCATCCAGGAAGAACTCACACCAACATTCATTTCTCAGAGACATTTATTGACAGCTGCTGTTATGCATCTGGGGATAGAAAGAACATCTGGTCCTCACAGTCTGTCACCTGACAGGACACGTGGTGAAGTGGAGAAATCGCATAGTGGACCAGAACCTCAGACACACCCAGGGGAGCAGGAGGGAGGGAGCAGAGGCTACTCCTGGCAGAGGTGCTGAGAAGCAGCCCCAGCTCCAGCCCTGACTCCCCAGGGGAACCCACACTCCCTGGAACAAGCTGCACCTGCTGCTCAGCTCCTGCCCTGAGAGCCTCTTCCTGCTAAGGAGACACTGACACAGGAGGGGCCCTGGGGCTCAAGGCTCAAGGCTGA